CAATTTAAATAATTGCTGAATACACAAGACCTTCACCCATCACCTGTTACTGTCTTTTTAGGACCTGAACAGGGAGATAAACTTCTTGTTACAACAAAGGAGTCAATATTCTTTGAGATTTTTTCCATTCCACTATAAGCTTATCCTTGTTTCCAATATACCTCACCTTTTTATCTAAAATAAAAAGTGACAAGCATTTATTTATAATATCAAGAAGGAACCCTGCACCCTTCATGTAGAGCAAGATTTTATAACTGCAGAATTCATATATCCAGCCCTTAGATTTTAAAATTGTGTCACTACAGTGGTGTTGCACAGTCATTATCTTCTACTTACAAAACACAGGCAGGAATTTTGACGAGTTCTCTGTAGTTAAAACTGTAAAATTCTAGTATATCCTGTTGTGTAATAAGTGTGTTTGGAAAGAGTCACAAGTATTTGAATGATGTATGGAAAAATGAAATTTTCCAGTGCTATTGGATCTATTCTCGTGATCAAAGAGCAACTTTTCACACTTTTCCCACTGTTCACTCCATTCCATGTGTGGATAAAAGCCACACTTACTCCTTTGCAGTAGGTATAAAAAAGAGCCAAAATACACTGATATTAAACACTAAAACAGAGATTAATTGGAACTCATTACTCCTTCCTCTTTAGTATTTTGTAAATAATTCTATATTTCATGCTAAAATGCACAGCCATTCAGGACAGTTATATTTTCTAATGGAAAACCACCCTGCAGTTTCTAGGTTACCAGATGAAAACTAGCACATGTGGCTGGTGAACTAAGTCTGGGTAGAGGTTTATATGCTGCAGGCTGATGGTCTTTGTCTGTTCTAGAGATCAAATATCTCAAAAAACCCTACTCCTCACAGTATTGCCTTTTAGACTGGAAAGCTGAGCAAGCATGAAGTTAATTCCTTTTCTGATAAATGCAGTACATAGATATGATTAACGATTGACCTTTTTTTCTCTTTGCCATAAGCAGGTAAGGGTCGTCACAGATTGCCTGCACTTTAGCAACTTCTAAATAAATGGGTGCCTGAAGGCTGTATTTTGTACTTAAATTATTGCTATAGAGAGCACTTTAAAACACTTTTGCCCTCAGACACTCAATTTCAACCCTTCTTCCAGCAAAGTCTTATTAACTTAGAACAAAACTTGATTATAGTTTTCTGCATCCCAACAGGATTTCTATATGTGTGTTGTGGAATGAAGTATTTTACCGAAATGTCACGGTAGACTTTTGACAAAACAAAAGAGAGCAGCTATTGTCAATATCTGGACACACTCCTTTGGTTTGTCAATACATTTTCAAGTTTTACTTGTAGCTTTTGTGGAACCAAAAAAGAAGAAAACAAGCACAGCAAAACCTCCCAAAGACAGAACTTGATACATGTGACCATGTATCTGACACAAAAAGTAATGTCTGAATATTTACTCAGTAAAATAGCAAAGTCCCTGCTACAAGAGATTCTCCTTTCTCTTTCACATGGGCAGATGAAACTGTTTCAAAGGAGTGTACTCACAGATAGTTTAAACTATAAATAATGACATGTGGCTGTTTAAAAAATGGGACTATTCAAGTTCCTTAGCACCATTTGATGATTTATTAGCGGTCTCTTTCAATTTCACCTTTTCTGCACCAAGTGACTTCAAAATCAAAAGTACCAGCATGCATCAATCTATAATATTCACAGTAAAGATATATTAGTAACTATATTTAGTAATGCCATGTGTTATTGGTTCATAGGGGTGAATATATTGTTATCAAAGGGTGATTTCAAAAAAATGTAAATCACGGTTACAATTATATTTTCATATCACATCCTCTGAAACAGAAATAAAAGCAGAAGCTTTATTTTATTTCTTTTATTTTATCATGTACTAATGCTGTTCCATTTGTACCAGCTGTACCTGGTTACCACTGAAGACATTTTGTTGCCCTCCATCCCTTTACAGCTCATTAGCTGAAAACAGAGAGCAACTCCGGGGTCAGGAGTAGTCTGTGTGCCTTGCACAGGAGGAAAGCCGAGACTGGAACAAGGTCCCGTGGGGTCCCTGGGTCTATTTAAAGGCCACTGTAGTCTCTAGGCAGGCAGCTCTACTACGTGTTCCAAAAGAGAGTTTTCCTTCTGGTGGAAGCACTAGGAGCTGTACAAAGTAGTCTCAGTGGCCATCGCTTAGGTTAGCAACAGGCATGTGCCAGGATTTAAAGCAATTCCACGAGAACAGAATTTTCTGGCACACTGCTGTGACATGTCTGCCTGATTCTCGTGGAGCTTTTCTGAGGAACATTTGTGGAAACTGTGTGAATACATCAGCGTCACAGTGATATCATCTGCTGTTCTGGAGTGGCACTAGTGGCAGCATCCACTGGCTCCTGAATACTTCTGTGCTTCAGGTTACCAGCTGTCTTAGACTGTGTTACAGTACACTGTAAAGTTGCATCCTTATTTTCCAATCCTAGTGTGCTTGTGTTTGGTCTCTACAAGAAACAGGTTCCCAACAGGTCAGATTTGCTATAGATTGCTTGTGTTCTGCAGCTTTGTTCAATTTTCTGTGTATTGTATGAGACCCCACAGGTATTTTATAAATGTGAGTTGAGAGGATGGTTGCATTATGCAATGAAAGCAAAATATTTAGTAAAACTCACATATATGGCCATATATATAGCCAAAACTGCTATAATTCTCCCTTCCATCCCTTTCTTGGTGTGTTTTCTTTGAAAATAGCATCTATGTTTTCATTGACTTGACAATACTCAGGTACTGCATAGGAAGACAAAGCCACAGACAGCAACTGCTCCCCAGTAAAAAAGAAGAGAACATTATATAGATCTTATGCTTTTTATAGAAATACTAGTTGAAGTACTAGGTTAAAGTGTTTCTAGTTGAAGTACTAGGTTGAGGATTTAGATAGGTTATTAAAGTATATGGACACTGGAACTATAAAGCATATTCTCCTGTTTTGCCTTTTCCCCACTTTTGGGCTATGTAGAATGACTGGTATTTAAGTCATGAGGAAGAAAGTTACTTGGACTTGAAAACTGCATTGAAACTGTAGAACGTATTGAAAACTTAATTTAAGGAGTTTCAAAGAAAATATATTTAATTTTAGGGCAAGTGGAAGAATCCCAGTTGCAAAGGAATAAAAATAATTGACCATTTCCCCAAAAGGCAAATATTTGGCAAAGCTGCACTGAGTAACAGAATTACATCATCACCATTTTGTATCAAATTTCACATTCAAAGCTTGCAAATTGGAAAATTTCCCTAAGCAAAATGTCAACTGAATCTTTTTCTTAAATGAAAGTGTGAATGAAGCTTCCTTGATGGGTACAGCTCTGAGAGCACCCTAGGTACAGTGCCCTGACAGCGTGGGAGAGCAGTTTTTCATTTCAGCTCATCAAAATACTCTCTGCAGGGAGCCATTCTATTCCTGAGTATGGCAGCACTGTGAGAAGGAAAAGAGGTAGTGAATGAGACGAGGAAAAACAGAAAAAACAAATAAAGGTGATTGTGGTGGGGTAGAACTGTTTCATTGAAGTGGATCGCAAAGCTTTTTTATTCAGCAGCCGTTCACTGAAAGCTGTAAGTCTGCAAGGTCTCTTAGCCAGGAAAATGGTTGGAGAAAAGCTGACCATACCGTATCAGTAAATGTTTAATCAAAAGCAGAAGTTTCTTCCATACCTTTTAATACATATATATATATAATGTGCATATATAAAACAACCCAACAGCACTTTTCCTGTTAAATTATAGTACATAAAACCGATTGTTTCATTGGAAAAGAGTCTATGTGTCTCCTCCTTGATACATTTCCTCAACCTCTCCTGAGAAACAACCAATGAACTGAATTCCTCTGGTAATCATGGCAATAGTTTCACACTGGGAACAGAACACAAGGCTCCTCAGATCATACAAGAGGGCAAATTTTTTTCCTCACAATTTCAAACATTTCAGGGCATCACAAGAAGTACATAAATATTTGATAACAGTTACAAAAATCTAAATGTTCAGGATAGATAAAATTCATTCCCCACCTACAGGTATGCCTTCCAACTTATTCCCTCATTACTGATTACAAACATCTACTACAGTTCATTTTTAAAGACGTCTTCCAAAGACAGAAATCTCCATTGAGAGGTACTCATCCTCCTTTTGAGAGTAAACAGATGCTTGACACATGATCATACAAGATACAATGTGCATCTAGAACAGAAATCTGAGAAGGAAACACAGAAAATCAAAGTAACGCTGACCAGAAAGACAAGACCAGAGCTCAGCTCTACCATGTCTGGCCCAGCTGTGGCACGGGCAGTTGCCAGCTGGGCAAGTGCCCACTTTTTTTGTTTGAGGAACAGTTTTCCCGCTTTTTAAAGTTAGGCTTGCAGGGATGGCTACCTAAATAATTTGTGAAAAAGAGGATTTTGCAGCAGTTCTGAGGACTAGACTGTGCTGCTGATAGGGACGTTCACAGCTCTTAGGGGCATGGTGAAAATTGCACGTGTAAGGGATGAATTTGTGCCCCAGGAATTTAAGATTAGAGCTGGACCAGGCAATAACCTTACCTTGATGCACCAAACCCTATTCCCAACAAAACATATCAGCCTGCTGCTCCAGTATTTGTGGATGCCTGGCTCAAAAAACACCCAACCACCCTCTAGGGCAGTGGGTGAACCCACTCGGATCTGGAGGTGACCCTCACAGCACTGATGCCACATCTTGAGTAGGTGACATTTCAGTGCCTCCAGCGGGAATTGCAGGCTGTGGCAAGGACCTACAGAGGTTGTTGTGGGTGAAGACAGGCTGTCCTGCTGGTGGGGGCGGGAAGGAAGGCCCCCAGTGTCAAACGTGCCATTGCAGCGGAGCCCCAGAAGGGACCTTCTCCGGTCATGCAGAAACCTTCACACCAACCAACACAGTTTCATTTGTTTCCACCACTTTCTTACAACACAGACGTGTCCCCCCTTCCTCCCTCCCCCCAACCCCCCAACCCCCTCCTTTCTGGACATATCGACAAAAGGAACGGCAAAATAAATAAATAAAGACTTAGCCTCTGCTTCGGGGCAGCCGCCTCTCCAGGGTCCCGCATCGGCGGCGCCCCGGCTGGAGCTGCTCGGCGTCAGTGTTCACGGCAAATGGCGGGTGCAGAGGGGGCCGGCGGCGCCCCGGCCCTGGCGGGAGGCTCCAGGCTCAGCTGTCCATGTGCAGCCCCCGGCTGTCATTGCACCAGCCCCGAGCCGTAGCTGAAGGTGTAGCTGCTGGCCAGCGACAGCGGCTGCTGGTGCTCCTCGGCCTGCTCCGACGGGTAGCTGGGAAAGGTCTGCGCCCGGGACACCTTCGCTGAGCCGAGGCTGTGACCTGGAGCGGGGAGAGACATGAACACGCAGGATCTAAGTGGGCTTTGAAGCTTTTCACCACGGACACAGACTCCAGTGGATTAGCTTCCTACTGTCCCACAGGGCCACGGTGCCCGGAGAGCAGAGTTGCTTCATTGGGTCCTTTTGGGGCTGCAGAAGAGGGTATTCCCTGTGGCTAAGGTGGCTGACAGATTCCCAGCCAAGGCAAAAGGCCCCAGACCCAACTCAGATATAATTTAGGGTCACAATTACTATGTCACAGACATCTTTTCATAAAAATCCTTTCTTTAGGATTTTTCCCCTTCTGGGAAGCTGAGGCCCCAGAAGAAGAATGTAAACAATGGTTATCTGCTGCTGTGGAATGCAACAGGTGCACCTGTGGTTGGCCCATGTTGGATGTGTACAATTAAGGGCCAATCAAAGACTGAGCTCTCTCTGGGGCAGAATCAGAGAGAGCTCCCTTGTTATTCATTCTTTCTCTATTCTTAGCTTAGCTAACTTCTGAGAACTTTCTCTCTATTCTTTTTAGTATAGTTATATATTATGTAATATATATCGTAGACTAATAAATCAAGCCTTCTGAACACGAGGTCAACATTCTCGCCTCTCTCTTCACCCTGAAGACCCTTGCAAGCCCTGTAACATTACTATTTCAAACTTCAGTGTTGTATTTGTGCATTTTCTACTTAATAAGTCTTAGTGATGTCAGTTATGGCTCAGAAATAACTAGTGCACATCTTTTTTACCTGAAGCGCTTCCCATGAAGGTAATGCCAGGGGTTTCAAAGGGATTAGTTCCACAAATCCCACTTCATTTACTTACTGTCCTTTGAACATGATGCCAGTTTGTCAGGTAAGCACAGCACACCACTGTAATTCCAAAAGGAACTGGCAGTGGGATACGGTGCACGTGGCAGAATAGTGTTTAGGAGGAGGATGTGCCAGGATGTGCTCTTTTCCAGATGACCTTGTGAATCTCATATAACCATTGCTTTAATCAGCAAGATGGGAAACCACATGTGAAAAGCCAGTGATGAAACTCAGGTAACCCTGATGACTCAATTCTGTAACCTGATTATTTTCCTAACTTCTATTTCCTTTTGAAATTGTAATTTAATAAGTAACAAAAATAAAATTTCCAAAATGCATATCTTCATGCAATTTTTTGTTGTTGTTGTTTTTGGAAATGTATATTGAAACTTGGATTTAAAATGGTTTTGCATAATGCTTTAAAAACTATCTTAATACACTTATTACCTGTAAGAATGCAAAATCATATTTTTATGCCAACCACAGAGATATTAAAGAATAGCTGCAATGGTATAGACTCAAATACTAAAGAATTCAGGTCATGCTGACACGTTTCAGAACAGTTAGCAGCTGGCCCAGTAGTGCTGGAACCAAGGATGATGTTCACCGGACTTGGGAGAACATTTCCTCACTTGCATTTGGAAAAGTTTGATCATAACACATTACTGACGACTTCATGAAAAAACTCCATGGCTCCCTCTGAACATGATACTATCAGACCAATGCTGGGACCAAGAGAGAAAAAAATCCAACTAAATGAAAAATGGAATAGAAGGTACACCTTAGTGACACTGAAGACAGTAAAACCAGAATCTGAATTCCCAGCGGCATGTTAATGATCCTAAAATCAGTTTCAAAGCACAAGCAAGAAGGATGAATTTTTAATGTGTATTTTTATTCTTTATTCATGGGGTTAAATTGACATTGGCTACCAAAACTTGGCTGAGATGAAAGGTTTAAATGTTTTCTGCTTCAAGAAGCTTTTGCATCAAACTGAACTAAAGCTTATGGTGACTGTGAGCTCTGAGCTACACAGTAGCTGATAATGTTTGTGAATAGTCTTAAAGGTTTTATTGCTTTAACCAACTTTCAATAATGATATTATATAAGGCCTTTATTACTTTTTTACTTTTATTTGGGATTACATCACAACAACTGTCACTTTATTTCTTAATCTAATGCAAACCTAAACATGAGAAGACGAATGATTCTAGATTTTAATTTTTTGTTGCAAATCTGCCTCATTTCCTTCTCAGGAGGTAAGATTTTGCTTTCTCTTTACCCAGAAACACAATTATATGTATTTTAAATGTCATAAGGGGCTGCTAAACCAGGCACATGATTTCCTACGTAAAATTTCTCTCTTTCCTACTAATAAAGATAAGTAAAATATGTCAAGGTATAACTTTCCTTCATTTTCTTAATGCATTTTATCCAAAGAGCATAAAACGATCCCTGTGACAATGGGCACTTAGTAAAGAGACTTACTAACCACAGAGTTCCTAAACTCAGGCCTATTTGCATCATCTGCTGTATCTTGTATAATTAATTTTAAATCCACTTTTGTACAATAGTGTAGCTTTAATACAGTGATGAAGAGTGTCCCTAATACACTAATTTCTAGCCACGGAATTTAGGCAATGTCCTAGAATGTAGAAGATGAATTTGAATCTATGAGAGTTAAAAAGGAAATTAAATTCAGGTCTTTCATTTCCAAAAGCCAACACATCCCTTGCTGTTCTGTAAAGGAAAATTTGTAGATGCTAAATGCCACAACAGGCTAGTTTTTGCCATTCTGTAGCCAAAGAGTTTAAGGAGGAGAGCTCTTCCTTCCTAGCTGCTAGGATATGTAGTGAAATAGAAGAGAGACAGCACACTTAACAGAGCCAAGAGGTCTAAGATGTCTGGTTGAGGTTCAAGCTGAACAGTATGACATCAATCTATGAAAATAATAACAAAAAAATAGAGGATATTGAATCAAATGAAATGGGAGAGCTATGGGTAATAGAAAAGTTACGAGTTTGGAAAGAATGGATCTAGGCAATATATTTACTTTCAAATTATATTTAAAAAAAACCCAATTAACTATGTTAATATACTTGAATAAATGAATAAGAAAATGATGGTGGCAAAATAAAAAAAATAGTCCAAAAGGTTCCAAGTGGACTTAAGACTGCTAAGTAGTAAATTTCCAAAATTTAAGGCACTTTTCAGCTTTTTGTTAAAATTCAGCATATCACATACTGGAAATTCTACATTATAATAGATCCTTTTATTTTCATTCCCAAATATTATTTTAAACTTCATACAGCTGATCAGTCTTATGGAGCTCTAGGTACTGCTGTGTCTCCAAAGTTACAATTTATGTCAGCAGTTAGGATTTTGAAACCAAAGATACAAGTAAAGTTTTTGCAGTGAAGGATTAAAGTTCCACAGCTTTCTAAGTTTCCTGCTTCAGTCACATTTGGGCCTTAAAAGGTTAAGAGAGAAGAAGAAGAATAAGAATACTGTTTGTGGATTTTGCAGCTCTTTGGTACCGCAGCTGCTTTTAAGAACACAAAACCAACTCTTCCCTGCAATTCTTCTGAAGTCAGCACAAGATGAATTTGATTCACACAGATTTTATGACCTGAAGATACCAATGGAGCTGGGAGAGGTTTTTTCCCCCATGGCTTACAGAGGAAAAGTTGGGTTTTTTTCTGTTCTAGGACAAGACCTTGGAAACATGAGTATTATTCAGCCTGCTTCATCCTTTACTCAAATTTACTCTCAGGATTATAGAATGCAATGAAGCTGCAGTCCAAAGCAATTAGGTATGAATGATCCATCAAGAAAATTTAATGTAACCCAGTAAATTACATTAAATTAGATTTTTCCTGATCTTAATTATGTTGGAATCAGAGGAAGTATACACAAGGATCTTATTTCATGGCATGGTGCTTATTTATAACAATTCTTTAGAGGAAAAACCCAATGGTTTCCTAGTAACAGCAGTGACTGATGTACATATAAGTAGATCGATCACAACTTCTGAGAAAAAACTTGCAGTACTAAGCTAAATGAAAAGGAAAAAAAAAAAGAAGAGAAGAGATCCAGGGATAAGCTTTAACAGCTCCCTTACTGCTGCTTATTGGGAGATGTTTCTGTTTTAGATTCAGAATTCAAATTCTTAACCAGAAGGCAGGTGCCAACCTAAATGAAATGAAGGTCACTCTTTTATTTTCAAATACAAGAATTCAAGGGATTCTGATCTGATGCTCATTGGTTAGAGCACTCATCTCTGATGTTCAAGTCCTGTGTTAAAATTCCCCTCTGCCTGTGGGTAAGGTTCAACATTACACTTTCTGTGGAAAACCAGCTGAAAGCATTCCCTTTCTGCTCTGTGCTGACACTGCTGCTCACTGTCCCTCAGTCGAGCCATTGAGACCGCAAAGCTGCTTTGCAGACTGAAGCACTTTGGTCACCTGGTTTGCAAGAGCCCCACAAATCTCTGTGCTGGCAAAGCTGAGGAGCAGCAACAAGCAGCCAAGGGGAAGAGATGGCAGGTTTTTTCTCAGGCTGGTTTCCCTGCCAGATGGTTTGTTTGGCAAATGATGACCCGTGAGCAATGTGCCACCATGGCCACCAGACTGCTCACAGCTCTCATGCAGGAGCACTTTTGAAACCCCATGACTGAGCTTTTCCCATCCGAGATCTAATATAAGTTTATGTTTCTGCAGTACAGTGATTAAAAATTAATAGAACCAGAGGCTCCTGTGTTTCAGCTTCTGTTGCAGGTCTTTAATTACTTTATATGAGATAGCCATTAGGTAAAAATAAAGATATTTGCAGCTGCACAGCAAGCTTTCATCTGGGATTTCTTAACCTCTGAATAGATGACTTTACAAACAAAAGGATGTACTTCTAATGCATTTCTATTTTTCTGGGTAAGCGTAATAAATTTGTTTTTGAAAATAAAATTTTGTATTTCCATTTCTAAGATTATGAGCACAAAATTGAAGTCATTAAATTAAAGCCAATTGGATGTCTGTATTAGTATTTTGTTTTGTATTTGGGAGTCTCTGAGACTTTACGATTCCAAGAGTTCTGCAATTGCTATAGATGTTTCTATAAATGCTACAGAAAAACTTGTACTCAAAAGAAATTTCTATGAATCAATCAGTGCAAGCTAAGAATAAATAAAGTGAATCAA